TAAAAAATGACAGAGCCGAAACTGGTTTGGCTCAGTGGATAGAGCGTCAGTCTGCGGACTGAAAGATCCCAGGTTCGATTCCGGAAAAGGGCATGTACCTTGGTTGTGGGCACATCCCCAGTGGGGGTATGCAAGAGGCAGCTGGTCAATGTTTCTCTCTCATCGATATTTCTAACTTTCTATCCCTCTAACCTTCCTCTCTGTAAAAAAATCAATAAAATATATATTTTTTTAAATCCTCACCTGAGGATATTAAAAAAAAAAAGGACAGAAAATATAGACATTTCTCCAAAGAAGACATACAGAGGGCCAATGGACAGATGAAAAGATGCTCAACACCACTAATCATCAAGGAAATGCAAATCAGAACCACAACGAGACACCCCCTCACACCTGTCAGAATGGCTAGTATCAAAAATCAACAAATAGCAATTGTTGGTGAGGATATGCACTGGTGGGATTTTAAGTTGGTACCTCAGCTATGGAAAATAGTATGGAGAGTCCTCAAAGAAAAACGTAGTAATTCCACTTCTGGATATTTATCCAAAAAAAGAATGAGAATAAACACTCATTTGAAAAGATATGTGCACTCCCATGTTATTGCAACATTATTTACAACAACCAAGTTATGGAATCAACCTAGGTTTCCATCAATAAATCAAAAGATGTGGCACATACATAAAATGAAATTTTACTCAGTCATAAAAAAAAACACAGTGAAATCTTGCCATTTGTGACAATATGAATGGACCTAGAGGGTATAATGTTAAGTGAAATAAATCAGACAGAGAAAGACAAATACTGTGTGGTTTCACCTGTGTATGAAATCGAAAAAAACAAAACAAAACACACCCACATCACAAATGAGCAAAAAAATAAATGAACTGAGAACAAAGCAAAAACATTCATAGAAAGAGAACAAACTGGCCTGGTCGGTGTGACTCAGTGATTGAGCATCGACCCATAAATCAGGAGGTCACTATTTGATTCCTGGTCAGGGCAAATGACTGGTTTTCAGACTCAATCCCCAGCAGGGGGCGTGCAGGAGGCAGCTGATCAATGATTTTCATCATTGATGTTTCTATCTCTCCCTTCCTTCCTCTCTCTGAAATAAATAAAAACATGTTAAAAAAAGAAAGAATGAAAGAGAGCACACTGATGGTTGCCAGGGGGAGGGATAAAATGGTGAAGGGCTAAAAGAGGCACAAACTTCCAGTTATAAAATAAATAAGCCACAGAGAAGTAGTGTACAGCATGGAGAATATAGTCAACAATATTGTAATTATGTTGCATGGTGAGGATAATTACTAGACTTAGTGTAGTGATCACATTGTGAGGTATATAAATGTAAAATTACTATGTTGTACAGCCCAAAACTACTATAATGTATGCTCATTTTATTATAAATTAAAAATAAATGCTAAACACAAACTTGTCTGATTTAATAAAAGTTCAGTCCAGAATCTAATTTGGGATCCAGAATGTCTTTTTTCTTGGAGCATAGAAGCTTAAAGTAACACTTTAATTTTACTGTTTAAGGCACTTTATAATCTTCAAAGTGCTTTTGTTTTATTTCATTTCACATCATAAGATCTCTTCTTTCACTAACTTAGAAATTTGAGAAAAGCTGTGTAGATGGAAGCACAGTCAATTCCGAGTGTAAATGAACTGGAATTTAGTTTTTATTGGTAAACTTCAGCATACATCCCTCCTTTCCACCTCAATCTGGAAGAATACTTAGCCCTGGAGTAACTGAGACAAATAGATGAAGTTAGTAGTAAGAAAGATTTTGTATCAGATTTTATAAGTGATGTCTTTTGTGAGTTGGAGAAAGAGTAACTGGTAGAAAATAAAAATTTATCTTTAAGGAATAGGTAACATAATGGTTGAGGATAAGGATATCTAAATTCCCAATTTAAATATTTTTATTTTTAAATTTCCTGACCTGATATATTTGTGTGTAAAATCTAAAAAATAAACAAATGTAAACATCCGTTTAAGTCAGAGCTGCTGCTATATCAACTTCTCTGAAAAGTGTCAAACTTTAATCTGAAATTAGGGTATATTATATACTGTTTAGAATTAATATTGGCACACACATAGAAAAACATGTTGACAATGAGTTATATATTAAAAAAATAACATTTCATAGCCTCTGTACAAATATATATAAGCACTGATATGTAAAATGAAAAATTTAAAATAAATTATCATGTTTAATGTATGAAACGTGCACGCATATACACGTATATACATTTTTACAAGCTGAAATAAACTTTGCTTTTAAAACAGTTTTAGATTTACAGAAAAATTGCAAAGATAGTACAGAGTTCCCTTATCCCTGCATCCAGTTTCTTCAGTTATTAACATCTTAATTAGTATGCCACATTTGCTGTAATTAATGAGCCAATAAGAATAATGAACTAACTTCCATATTTTACTCAGATTTATTTTGTTTTTACTTAATGTCCTTATTCTGTTCTAGGATCCCATCTCAGCACTATATTTAGTCTTCATATCTCTGATTCCTCTCGGCTGTGACAGTTTCTCAGACTTTGCTTATTTGTATGTCCTTGAGTTTTGAGGAGTACTGGTCAATTGCTTTGAGGAATGTTTTATCCTCTCCCTCTCACCCCCATGCTTAGACTGGGTTATGGGTTTTGGGAAGGAAGATCAGAGAGAGAAAGTGCCTTTTTCATCGCATCATATGAAGGATACATCCTTGATCACCTGGCTGAAGCAGTGTTTGTCAGTTTTGAAACTCTACAAGCCATTTTGCATTCCCCCCTTTTCCATACTTTTTTTTTTTTTTTGAAGAAACTTACTTGCACTGCCCATACTTAAGGAGTGAGATATCGAACTTCACTTCCTGGAGGTTGGCATATTATTGGGAATATTCTGTAGGAGAGATCTGTCAATCCCTCCCCCCCCCCCATTTATGTACTTAATCATTTCTTATGTCAGTATTGACACTTGGATATTTATTTGATGTGCTTCTTTTGCCCAATAAAATCTTGTGGACAACTTTAAAAAATGTATTTGTATTGATTTCAGAGAGGAAAAGAGAGGAAGAAAGAGACAGAAACATCAATGATGAGAATCATTGATTGGCTGCCTCCTGCAGGTCCCCTACTGGGGCTCAAACCTGCAACCAGGGCACGTGCCTTGACTGGAAACGGATCCATGGCCTCCCGGTTCATAGGTCCAGGCTCAACTACTGAGCCACGCTGATGGGGCGGTGGACAACTTTTAAAGTCAACAGAGGTGAATATGATAACTTTTAGAGGTTATATAATATAGCTTTAATTAATCCTCTACTGATATACATTTTTGCTTCCCCTTTTTCCTTACTTCCAACTCTGATGGATGAGATTCTTGTACATTCAGTTTTGTGTGCCCTTGTGTGGCTATTCTTTTTTCATTCCAACGCCATCTCTAGGACACATTATACTTGAGCTGTGTCCCCTGCTCCTCAAGCACATCTTGCTTTCCTCAGCTTACAATATATTTTCTTTACCTAGAATTCTCTTCCCCTGTCTTTGCCTGCGGAGTTCCCTGTTTGATTCAGGGCTCAGCTCAGAAAGCTACTTGCTGTAAAAGGTCTTCTCTAGTGTTTCAAATGTAACTCAATGGTTCCATTCCACTTTTCTTTGCTGAACATGCTTAAAAAACATCATCTGAGCCTCCTGCTTTATCCCAGAATCCTTTCTACGAGTTCATGAAGGGCAGAGGTGGAAAAGTGATCCATCACACTCATCTGTGTATTCCACCACCATGGTGGGCGTGCAAAGAAACTAGCATATTTTAACTATATATATATATATTATTGATTTTTTACAGAGAGGGATAGAGAGTTAGAAACATCAATGAGAAAGAATCATTCATCAGCTGCCTCTTGCACTGTCCCTACTGGGGATGTGCCCGCAACCAAGGTACCTACGTGCCCTTGACAGGAATCGAACCCTGGACCCTTCAGTCCGCAGGCTGACGCTCTATCCACTGAGCCAAACCTTGGACCGTTTCCAGCTAATTAGCATTTTTTGACTTTGAAATTATATGAGTAATTGAGAAACTAATAAGCGTGCTCAATGTTACAGAGCGAATCACTCTTCCTTTCTTTTTCCTACGTTGTTCCATGCTTCAGAGAGCCAGGAGAGTTGCCTACCGGTGTTAGCTTTTAAGTGCAAACTGTGCTGCAGTTGAAACGTAATGCTTCCTAGCCCCCGGTTGAAAGTGTTTACTTGAAGACTTGGGTGTATTAAAGCCTGTCTTCCAAAATGAGCATCTTCAAGGTGCCAAGCACTCATAGGCATTTGTACATAAACGGCAGGAGAAACGAAGTCATTAGAGAAGGTCTCTGATCTCTCCGACTCTCTTTTTAAGTAGGCAGGTGGCATAATGTAGCTCACATGCTATCATTAGCAATTAGAGGTGAACGCCAAGAGAAAACAACAGAACAAAACAAAGAGACAGTGTCTGGTGATGAGGCTGGCCGTGAGCGGCCGCTAAAGGGGCCGTGGGCCACCCGCCCGCACCCCGGAGCCGCGCTCCTGCCACCCGTGACCTCACTTGGGTGACCCCACCTGGTCCGCTCGCCGCGCGCAGAGGTGGTGGCCCCGCCTCCCTCTCCCGCCGCCCAATCCGCCGGGGACCCTGGGGGGCACGCCCCGCCCCCAGCCACGCCCCCAGTTCTTTAAGAGCCGCCGCCGCCGTGGCCGGCTCCGCGGGGGTGCGGGGCTGCGGACTGGGAGGCCGGTCCCTGAACCTGAACCTGAACCTGAACCTGAACCTGAACCCGAACCCGAACCCGAACCTGAACCCGAACCTGAACCCGAACCTGAACCCGAACCTGAACCCAGAGGCTCCAGCGCGCAGCCGCTCTCCGCTCGCAGCCCTCGCCGGGGTCCCCGTGGCCGCCCGCCTCCCGGGCTGTGGGCAGCTGCCCCGGAGCCCGCCGGCCGCCGGGAACTCGCGCCCCACGGGCCGCGCCGGCCGGGGCCATGGTGCCCTCCCCCGCGGAGCCCGTCGCTGCAGAGGGGTCGGGCAAGACCGAGGAGCTCAGCCCCGCGTCCGTGGGGACCGCCCCGCCCTCGGGCCCGGGACCCTCCGACGCCAAGGAGGAGGTGGAGGTGGAGCTGGCGGGGCCCGCGGGCGCCCAGCCCCCTGCGCCCCCCGAGGGCGGCTGGGGCTGGCTGGTGATGCTGGCGGCCATGTGGTGCAACGGGTCGGTGTTCGGCATCCAGAACGCCTGCGGGGTGCTCTTCGTGGCCATGCTGAAGACCTTCGGGTCCAAGGACGATGACCAGATGGTGTTCAAGACAGGTGAGGCCGGGCCGCAGCGGGCAGCGGGGCAGCGCGCTCAGCGCGGGTCCACGCCCGCGTGCGCGCCCCTGGGAGTTGCCTTGTGCATAGGGTGTTGTTGTTGTTGTTGTTGTTGGGGGGGGGGGGTTCTGGGGGGACACTGTGCTAAATACTGAAAGGATAGGAGGCAGCTGGATGGGGAGGTTGCGAAGAGGGTTGTGAGGGGTTGCCTTCTCCTGTTGTGGTCTTTGTCGGACTTAACCATTTACCAAGCTAGATGGAAAAGGTGCAGACTCAACACCCCCCCCCCCCTCCCCCCGAGAGCGCTATTACGCGATCTCTTGGCTGAGCAGGCAAAAAGCAAGTTGCAGATCTTCTGTAAAACTCTTGTGCATACATTTTCCACTTTCTCCTACACGTAGGCATTGTCAACCCCGCTTAGGAGAGCCAACTGAAGCTTGGTGAAGTAAAGCGTCTTGGGGAGTAAGCAGAATGGAGATAGAGCGTTTAAGTTCTTCAGACTTAAACGGCCAAGTGATTTCCATTACTTAACCAGACTCCCTCACTGCCATGGGGGGAACTTTATGTACTAGTTCATCATCTTTAATTTTTTTTTTTGAAGGGAAAGGAGAGAGGGGGAGAAACATCAATGATGAGAGAATCATGGATGGACTGCCTCCTGCACAGGCCCCCCCCCCCCCCCCCCCACTGGAGACAGATCCTGCAACCAGGGCATGTGCCCTTGACCGGAATCGAACCCTGTACGCTTCAGTCTGCAGGCTGATGCTCTATCCACTGAGCCAAACCAGCGAGGGCGATTCATCATCTTTATTAACCTTATCTTTTCTGTTATTTTTTTTAGTGAACATTTCTGAGGTCGTTAGTGTGCATAAAATGATTATACAACTGTCCCAATTCCCTGATCTTACTTTGCTGTCATAAATTCTAAGGCAGAGGTAATGTTGAGAGTTTTAGAATCATTTGTAAATAGTGTATTCTTCTGCAACTTGCTTTTCTTTTACTCTGTGTTGTGTCTGTGATTTACCCACTTGAGCTGGTAGCTTAAATTTTTTAACTCATAGTTTTCCATTGTATGACTATATTATACTTTATTTATGCATTGTCCCTTTATTAGACATATTATTTTCAAACTTACTGTAAGCGACACTGCAATGAATATTCTGGTACGTTGTCTCGACATGTATTAAATAAGGTGCCATATTTACTCTGGAATTTCTGTTCCATAAATAGCTCCTGGAGTTGCTGTGTTATTCAAGTCACAGGGCCAGGTACAAAAAGTGTTAACAGCCGAAACCGGTTTGGCTCAATGGATAGAGCGTCAGCTTGGGGACTGAAGGGTCCTGGGTTCGATTCCAGTCAAGGGCATATACCTTGGTTGTGGGCATATCCCCCAGTGTGGGGTGTGCAGTAGGCAGCTGATCGATGACTCTCTCTCATCAATGTTTCTAACTCTCTTATCTCTTTCCCTTCCTCTCTGTACAAAATCAATAAAATATATTAAGAAAAAAAAAAAGAACAGGTATCAACTTTAAATTATTTTTTAAAAAAAGTGTTAACAATGTAATATCTTCTACTTACTTTGTAAGGAAGACCATCATTAAAAAGTTTAGGAGGATAGGTGTGCATATGTGATGGTAAACAAAAGTAATTTTGTGTCTTTCTGTATGAGTATAAGGTATCTGGGAAGGAAAGGCTCCAGGAGGCCGAACTGACAGTTACCATTTTTAGACTGTTTCCTTCAGCATTTAGCATATTTTTGCCTGCGTTTACACACTTTTAATGCAGTCAAAACAACAAGACAACAGATGAGTTGATCCATTGGAATCTGAGGGTTGTTTTTTTGTTTTTACTCCTTCCTGACTTTGTCCTTTTGAGATAGTGAACAACTGCTGGAGAAAGACCATAGCTTCGCCATGAATCATTTTTGCAGTGTTGAAGCCTCTACCCACAAGTTCCTGGTGGCTATAGTATCCCGGTACTGGATAACAAAAGATGAGGGAGGGACAGGACCTGCTATCTTGAAATTTTTGAAACTCTGTATTTTCCATTTTCATGAATATCTTTTTCCATTTACTCAATTAAGTTCTTGACAACTTTCAGCCGTGTGTGTGTGTGTGTGTGTGTGTGTGTGTGTGTGTGTGATATAAACAGTCATATGGGAATGCCAGCTAAATAGTGAAGATCTTTGTGCTTATCTGCATATTGCCATGTTTGGTCATGCCCTTGCACAGATGTGCCCAACTCAGGGTAAGTGGAGACAGAAAATCAGGCTGTTGTTCTGGGAGCCCTTTATCTAATTCCTACAGAGGGGCCTTATGCACCCTTATCAATGGCCCTGCCTAACACAGCAGCTTGATAGAACGCTGGCCTTAATTTCGACATGGTTGTAATATCATACATGTATAACAAGCTATTTTTTAAGGTCTGAGAAAGAAATCGGATTTAATCTCATCTGTGAAAAAAAGGGTGACAAGATAGTTATTGGGTCAGTTGATGCTGAGATGCCTCCCAGCCCCTTCCCCACCAGATGTTTCATAGATTCCATCATCTACAAAAGGCACTGACATATTGAGAATACCGCTTTGAAGTCTGGGTTTTCCACTGATGCTGAGTCATCTGTGATCAAACATACGTAAGCTTCAAGGACAACCCCCCAAAATATCTAGAATTGCATAAGGCTTTTATTTTTCAAAGTTTTTGGTCCATTTTCTATTACTCTATTTATGATGGATAATCCCAGCATTAGATAGAGAGCAGTTAATTGTCTTCACGTTTTCATTAGCTTCTTCAATACGGATTAGTCCAAGGATACACAGGGAGGCTGTGGTAAAACGGGAACTGAGGGTTTCAAATGATCGTTCACATTTCTTGAGAATTTCCCATGTGCCAGCCTAGTGCTACGCACTTTCCATGCATTCTTATTTAAACCTACTGCAACCCCATGGGCGAGGCTGCATTTGATATCTTTCTTTTCAGATGTGGAAACTCAGGTTTGCAGAGTTTGAGCAAGCAGTGCGGCCAGAATTCAAATTCAGGTTTATCTGATTCCAGAAGCTGGTTTCTAACAAGTGAGCATATTGCATTGGCCAGATAATATTTTGCTAATCCAATGTTCTTTATGTTGTATAATTCAAACATTAGCAATTGATTGAATACTACATCAGGAATTCTGAGGTTAGAAAAGGCATCTGAAAGATCAGGGTCCCTGTTTCTTGATCAGTAAACAAAGGCCAGTTGTGAATGTCTCCTGGAAGTAGGTTTTAAAGTGTAGAGAGACTTCCAAGAAGAACACCATCAGCCCAGCTGGGGTGGCTCAGTAGTTAAGCATCAACCTATGAACCAGGAGGTCATGTTTGGATTCCCAGTCAGGTCACATGGGCAGGTTGTGGACTGATCCCCAGTGTGGAGTGTGCAAGAGGCAGCTGATCAATGATTCTCTCTCATCATTGATGTTTCTATCTCTCCCTTTCCCTTCTCTAAAATCAATAAAAATATATTTTTAAAAAATGAGCTCATTTCATATGGCATTCAAACAGTCTGGGGTTTCCTTTGAGGAACCATGCTCTTTAGTCTGATCCATAGCAGGACGATGTTCCCAGGAAGAACGGGAGAGCATCTTTCTCAGGATCACGCTCTCTTCACAGTTCTCTTAACTCGTATGTAACTGATGATATACTCAACATTTCTTAGGAAAGGGCCTGAAGAAATTCATTCACACTGAGATGTAAGTGAATTTACACATCCTAATGTTATTCCTCATTCATTCTACAAGTGTCATTCATTACTAAGTATCTGACACCCCTCTGTACAGAGCACCGGAGATGGGAACTGAGAGAGACAGCTGTTCCCAGGGAGCTTTAGATGGGCTGTGAGACACAAACAAGTAAAAGTACATCCAATACTACCCTCAGGCATTTGCAGTATACTGGAACCCAATCTTATTTTAAAAGGTGGAAATTCCAGGGAATGGTGGGTCCTGGAGAAGGCATTTGATGGCCTGTCTAGGTGCTAGTAAGTCTCCCTTTGTGAAATGAGGACTTTGGAAGAGAAGCAAGCTGAACTATAAGTCAGACAGTAGAACCAACATTATGTTATTGCAGCTGCCAGTGTCCTCATGCTCAGAGATATCTCTTGCACGTATTGCTGCATCAGTTATGTCTGTCACAGGGAGCAAGCTGAGCTTGAGTTGTCTCTTTCCAGTTAAGTTTATACGTGTTCATATGTGCATGTTTCTTGCCTGTGCGGAGAGGAATCAGAAGCTTGTGGGATACCACAGATACTGCAATGACCTAGAATGTTGTTTGCCCTTGGAAGTTACAACTTTGCTTGGATATTGGAAAGCCCATTTTTAGTTCCTTCAAGGGACTGAGAGGGTAGGGTCCTTTCATTTTCCTGATGCAGGATCCTGGACGGTCTCTGGGATCTTACGAGGATATTAATCTAGTTTGTCTGCTTTCTTCCTGCAGAAAGAAAAACATTTTAATGGTATATGGACTTTAAAAGTATCTGTTTAAAACAAGTATGTTTCTAGAGTCGGTATTTAGGGTAGTTAATGATATCCTTCTGAAAAATCATGTCTTTGTGGTCTAGAGGCATGGTCAAGAAAGACCCCTACTTCTTTTAGTAATTCCAAAAATGTGTTCTTTAATAGCCTTTCTTTAAAGCAGTGGTCTGTGGTTAAATAAGTTTGGGAAACACAGCACATTATTCTCCTCTCAGATATTTAAAGTAAAGATCAAGATATTAAAAATTCAACAGTTTTACCGAGAAGTGGACTATCCAAAGGGAGACTTTGGCAACAATCTTTAATGGAACTACCTTCCCTGTATGGAAGTAGATTGCTCTTTATGATCACAAAGTAGGATTTTCAGTTATACTTAGGAATTAATGCATCTTTCAACACCTCTCAATATAGTCTTACAAATAACTCTGAAATTTCAAATCAGTTAGTACTTCTTGAAGGTTAAAAAAAAAAGTTTTCACGCCTAGCTGGCGTGACT